GCTTGCTCAATAGAAGGAGCTCCATGTGAAAATTAGCTTGCTCAATAGAAGGAGCTCCATGTGAAAATTAGCTTGCTCAATAGGAGCTCCATGTGAAAATTAGCTTGCTCAATAGGAGCCTTATATGAAAAATTATTTATTCATAGGACAAAGAAGCAAAAACTTTACCACATGTTTAAAAGTCTAGGCGTTTTTTTATAGGGACTGTAGTAATATAGAAACGGAACTTATGTTTATATAACCTATCCTTAGGCGAAATTGACGGGAAAAAGAAAATAATTTTGGTTGTTTTGTGCGTGTTTGGTGGTTGCTTAGCGAAGGCATTCAGTATTAAAGGTATTTGCACGGAAGGTGGATTAAAACCCGTTTCTACAGAGGTTGTTATTTTTAACAAAGAAACCAGGGTTTCGAGATCGATTGTTTTAAACACAAGCTATAGGAATAATAAAAGGTTAAGTTATTGTAAAATCACGTGATGAATTATAATATGAGAAAAACACATTTCCATTGTTTGAGCTCCAGCTGCTTGGAAGTTCGGTTTTTTTTAAACTTAGAGAAACATAAGTTGATTCATCGTATTTCCTATCTTCTAAAACTTTGATAGAATACATAATTTCCTGGAAATACTAACGTATCCACTTTCCTGCGTGATAAGATAACTTGAGAATGTGGAGAATACTATAATATCTAATCTTCTAACTGTTGGGATAAGCTAAGAACAATTAATACAGAGGGTTGAGTACGTTATACTAAAACAATTTTGAATAAAGAAATCAACAAGTCACGTGATAGCCACAGCCAACATTAATTCGCGATGGAATAGCACGTGTCAGAGCTGTATTTTGACATTGGGATTCGTAGGTAGTGTAATTACACCAAACATTTATCACTTTTGCGAAGGGTTATATAAAAACCCTTTTCGACACAAAATATTCATACACTAAGATCATAGAGATAGATGTGTACATATCGGAGATTTAGATTTTTTTCAAGATGGTGATTTCTCTTGTACTTAATGACTTCGGAAAACAAAGAAATGTGGATCAACTTGAGTAACCAGGATCATCCCGAATACAACTTGTAATAGATCGTCTCAAAGTCGTGGCAAATAAAGTGCAGCATCTTGTAACAGGTGAGAATCCACAAACCCAAAGACAAATGGCAAATATATTTGTTAAAATGTTATAAAAGCGCCAAACTAAAAGTTCGTTTAATTTTTTTTGTCTCCAGTTGGAAGCGTATAAAAATGAAATGTTATGCTTGGTCAATTTGTTATAATTTATTTTCATTAACGATAATCTTTTCTGTATCTCATAAAATAAACAACTGTTACAATAAAACGTATTCAAGACTTTACAGAAGAAATAAATTCAGACATGACGCCAACATACAGTGGACAGATTGAATTTGGAATCCACGTATTCTTGTAGGCTATATTGTTGTTTGGTCAGAACAAGGTTTCACATCACGTGGTAGACGTGTGGCTTAAGTTCTGGATTTTCTTCTCCAAAGTTATTAGAACACATTGATCAAAATAAAACGCCAATTAGGTTAAATTAAATATGATTGATTATTTAATTTGTAAGTATGTTAGGCAGTTTGTATCTTAATATCAGCCAGTTAGTGAGTTAATTCGGTTTTGTGAAATCTGAGTTTGTGTTTCAATGAATATGTAGAAATAAAATAATACTGTAGATACGAGAACATTAGCAAATTAATGACTAATTGGCTTTGGCCTATCACTCCGTGAACGTTAAGTTAGTACATGGAAATTCTAGAACTTGTAGTCGAAATTATAAAACTTTTGTGTTAGTATCAAGTGGAATGGAAAAAGCATTTTTCTTTTTCCTAAATGATGGAAAAGAACCTGTATAACAATATAAAGCGTTACAACGGTACTATAATAATATATTTTACATTTAACTTAAGTATAGCTCGTAAAATATTAATGAACCTGAAATCTGTTATGTTCTTAAGGTACAATACTAGCACGTGGAACTTTATTGTAATAACCCTGCTAACATGCCACACCTCCTAGTTTCAGAGTGCCTACAGCAACATCATGGTTCAGGAATATCGTAAATTATCAGGTGCTATTGAAACGATAGTGCTTATCCCAGCAATGCAACTTACGTCACTGCCTACATTGTATACGAAAGTATTGCTAAAATGGATTGTCCAGAATTTTCTAAAAGCCATAACTCCATTACAACGTATGAGAACTGACGCGGAAACAAATTCCATGTTTACTTCGCCTACCAAAACCCTAGACCCGCTGCTAATGAGGAAATGAGGGCCATATTGTAGAATTCATTTAGGGATTTAGCAACTTTCCAAAGTAAAGCTGGCTTCTCAGGTTATTTCTTAATAATATGGAGTTGAACATTCTAAAAACTTTATCGCTGATCCACAATGTTTCTGCAGGCATTCCTAAAGATATGTAAGGAGATATCTTGGAAGAATTCTATGTCTACAGTTTGATATGTTATGATTTTACACTAAGTTTCACTTCTATTATTAATTTGGGAATTATAATTGTGCTAAAATAATCGGAAAGAGTAACACGTAAAAAACGAAGTGTACATTTTAAAAATGTCTAAAACAAAAGATAATCATATACCAACGGGATTAGACAAAATGTGTTTTTCTAAGTATTGAAAATAAAAATCAACTTTGGACCCACTACACTACACTATTCGCCACACACAGCAGCCAAACATCAACGTTGAAAGGAACGCATGGTTTTTCACAGTATTTAAAACAAAACACAAACTTGTACAAAAACCCCAAGTATACAAGTGACTTCTGCAGTTTGTAATAGCTTAAAATTTCAATTTGTATTCAA